GTTCAACAATCCAATATTGAACACTTCTTGTTGCGTCTTTCAATAAACTATGGCTTTATAGTTCCAGTATGATTGTTAAAGATGCTATATAACATCATTATAAAATATTTACGTCAATTGAAAAAAATTAAATTGTAATTTATTGTTATCATTGTCTCTAAAAGTGATCCGACGAAGTATCATTTGAATTTCAGGCTTTTAATATTTTTCATGAATATTACCATGAATCAAACTATGTTGACAAAGTAACATCAATATTTTTCTGATAAAATCAACTCCAGCTGGGCTGACAATGAATTGATATTAATTTATTTATCAACCAAACAAGGTGTCACATCAATCAGCGTCCATACGTCATTATCATATTTTTAACGATTTTTGATGTGATCATTTCATTGACGCACATCATGTTTTTGTTTTTCACGTTTTCCATTTACGTCCAAAAAAACCTTGTAATTCATTATTATGAAAGAAGCTCTGCAAATAATAGAAGACATTCATTCATTTTGAAGCTAGAAAATGTAAAATTTCAAAAAAGCATTTAAGACAAGATTGTTGTGGGGATAAAGCTGCTTACTCGAACAATTGTGTAAGATCAAGAACTCACAATGTACAATTCTAAATTTTCTCTCTATCCGCAAAGACAAGAAGAAATAAGAGCAAAGACAAAAAGAGAAAAAAAAAGTGCTCATCCAATCTGAAATTTTCTCAAGACTTAGTTCAGTTTCTCGATTACTTTTATTTTTCCAATTCAATTAAAGAAGATTTATAATTACATTTATTACTCAACGATTTTTCTATCGAAATTATTCTCTTAATTTATCAGTAGAAAATTTCTTATCAGAAATATACAATTTAACATTAAAAACAGCTGTATATTTGCAATATAAATTACCTTCGTCTCTTTTATAAGATAAAAGAAAACTTTATCAACAATTTAAATCTTAATATTTTTTATCTTAAGCTAACTTGAATTAAAACTCTTAACAAAGTTCTTTTAATGCAATTTTTGTTCTCTACTAAAACTTTAACTCACAGAAGAATCTACATAATTTGGAAAAATGCATTAATATTAAAATTGACAATCCTTCTTTGCTAATTATATATTCGCTAAGTTTATCATCATAATATAAGATTTATATTTTACTCATTTATATCATACGAAATAATTACTTCAATTAATCATAATATCTACTATATTCTCATATTAAGTTTTGAATTATCAATAGTTAAATATTAGTCAACGACTTAGAAATCATTTTATTGATAGTAGTTAATTCATTATATTATATTCAAAGTAATCTTTCTATCAGTGTTATGTATAATGTACTTGAAGAGCTTACGTTAGAAAAATTGGTTTATTAATTGATAAAAAATATTTTTTTAATGGTAAAAAATATTTTTTACAATGAAATGAAATTTATTCATTATAGAACCACTAATGTGTTCATAACTGAGGCTTTTCATTATTCTAAAATATTTATTAGAAGTTTGAATCATTTAATGGTAATCGATAACAAACATCAATTCTAAATTCTCGATTCCCTGAAAAATGCATTTTCTATCTATATGATTCTTATGTCTTCAACAAAAATCACCTCAACGTAAAAAATTAAAAGCAAACAAGCTAAAAAATCTATTAGAAAATAGAGTAAAAATATTTCTAAATTTTTAACACTTAATTAAATTTAGTAAGTGCTAGCAAAATTATTTTTGAATATATTCTTACTTCAATTGATCATAATATCTACTATATTCTCATGTTAAGTTTTGAATTGTCAATAGTTAAATATTAGTTAACGACTTAGAAATCATTTAATTGATAGTAGTTAATTCATTATATTATATTCAAAGTAATCTTTCTATCAGTGTTATGTATAATGTACTTGAAGAGCTTACGTTAGAAAAATTGGTTTATTAATTGATAAAAAATATTTTTTACAATGAAATGAAATTTGTTCATTATAGAACCACTAATGTGTTCATAACTGAGGCTTTTTATTATTCTAAAATATTTATCAGAAGTTTGAATCATTTAATGGTAATCGATAAAAAAAATTAATTCTAAATTCTCGGTTCTCTAACAACTGCATTTTCTATCTATATGATTCTTATGTCTTCAGCAAAAATCATTTTAATTTGAAAAATCAAAAGCAAACAAGCTCAAAAATATATTAGAAAATAGAGTAAAAATATTTCTAAATTTTTAACACCTAATTAACTTTAGTAAGTGCTAGCAAAATTATTTTTGAATATATTCTTACTTCAATTGATCATAATATCTACTATATTCTCATATTAAGTTTTAAATAATCAATAGTTAAATATTAGTTAACGACTTAGAAATCAGTTAATTGATAGTAGTCAATTAATTATATTATATTCAAAGTAATCTTTCGATCAATGTATGTATAATGTACTTGGAGAATCAACGTCTGAGCAATTTGTCGGCCCTGAAAAGGGCCAATTGTTTTAATGATGCTTATGAATTATTCTTCGTGACTTATAAATTTTTTTAATTCGTAACTGGCTACGATGGCTAGTATTTCAATTTTAGTGAGTTCTTGTCCAGGCGGAAGTTGCCGCAAAACATCCAGAATTTCTTGAGGAATTGTCACCTGTTCACCTTCAGGAGCTGCTGTCTGTTGAACTTCAGGAGCTGTTGTCTGTTCAACTTCAGGAGCTGTTGTCTGTTCAACTTCAGGAGCTGCTGTCTGCTGAACTTCAGGAACCTCTTCGATAATTTCTTCACGAATGGCTTCAGGAATCTTTTCAATAACTACTTCAAAAGTTTCTTCAAAAACATCATCCTCCACGTCAGAAATCGGTTCGTAGATCGGTTCGTAGATCGGTCTAGGTTGCTCTTCAGGTATACTTATGAATATTTCCTCCGACTCTTCTTTCGGGAATAACCTCCTTGGTCTGATGAGGAGCACTTGCGGGTATGATAAAAATTTCCGCTTCGGTGTTGTTGTTATCGGAGGTTCGGGTGTCGTCTGTTCCTCTTCGTCGTATGCACTTCTGGCAAGCTCTTCAACGTTTCTAAAGTTCGTCATTGCGTTCAAATGAAATCAGGATCGTTTTCAGTGAATCGGTGACAAGTGTCAAGCGTTGTGTGATCCTTGCAGAATCCTCGGTCCTATTTATACCTCCTCCAACCCTTGTCCTGCCCTACTATAGTAGTAGGGATAGGCATACCTGTCCCTAACAAATCAGGTGAACACAAGCAAACATAATTTTGGAAAATTTTGTAATTGGTCCATCAAGTGAGAGTGATGGGGGGAGGGCAGTTCTTCGTTTGAAAGTCCTCTGGAAATTTCTGTTGAAAATTTAAAAAAAAATACGTTTTTTACCATCAACATTACATGCATTAGATAAAATGTTCATTATCAATTACACATTCGATGTTGTAATTTTATTTAAATAATTATGGGGATCATAATCATGAAAATTATCTTAAAAATATTGATAAATAAAAAATATTATGAGAAATGTATGAAAAATAAAACTAAAACTTAAGCTCACAGAACTTGCATAATTTAAAAAATGCATTAATATTAATATTTATAATCCTACACTACTAATTATATATTCGCTAAGCTTTATTATCCAATAAAACCACACAAACTAATTCTATTATTTTTAATAATCCTTTGAAAAACCATTATACACTAAACAAATAAATGCATAAAATAAGTGAATTCTTTATAATCATAATATATAAAAATAAGAATGATATTGTTTTAGATGATATCAAGTATGAACTGTTTTCAAAAACATGAGATATGCATCAAGGGAATCTTATTAGTTTCACATTAAAGGTGTCCAGTCAAGTGGACCTGATTAGTTTCAAATCCAACAACCCTGATATACAGATAATCATTAGCTCTACATCAATTATACTTGATTTGATGAACTTAATTAGCTCTTGATTAGGTAACTTTAGTTAGAAGAACATTATTAATCGTACACTTAATATTTCTGATTAGTTTTTCAATGCATATTCATCAACACATTAAACCTGACTTTGATGATATTCAGGTACATGTTGCCAGTTGGATGTGAAATATTTAAAACTTAATATGATCTATTTCACATTTGATGTGTGAAACACTATTCAATATAGTTATATTTTATCAAATGATTGCATTTAATTACTGAATTGACTTATAAACTAATTCATTTATTTAATCAGTCATTCAATTATTTAATGATAATCTTTTTTCCAATTAAATTCAAAATAGTGCAATTTAAAATCCATTATTCCATTGAAATTTTCAAAACTCATGTAATCATTTATTGAAACTCTTTACAATAATATTTTATTCATTCGAGTAATTCTTTTATCTATAAATTAGTCTTTTAAACTTAATCGGCGGATAGTCACAATAAATTATTAATTAATTTAACTGTGTTAAATGCATGCCTGTCAATCTGTCGATAATTACTAAAAATTCCAGTATTTCTTTTATTCACCGATTCATTAGAAGAATTGCAGTGTACTAATATTATACAACTTTCATACATTCTGCAAATTAGCACAACTATAATTTTATCAAATTTTTAAGTCAGTAAAATTGTAATAATTTTGATTAAAAAAGTTACTGAATATTAAATCAACATAATATATTATAAAATAATGGAACTTTTGTTGGAATAATTTTAAATGACATTACAATTTATAGTAGTGAATAATTGAAAACTCAAATTATTTAAAACAAACTGAAATATTAATAATAAATTATTATAGTCTTTTCTATTCATTAAATATATTTGCAAATGATTTAAATATTTGACGAAAATTAATACAAATGACTGATTTTTCAATGCTTTGTTAATTTATTGAAGAAATAAATCAAAAATTCTACTGATTCAGTTGGAGGGATTATTGTCATGAATACCTAAATATTTTATCCAAAGATCCATAAAGAATTCATGCAGTTATCTGGACATAAATCCTATTAGTATCACAACAACTGAGAGATTCAATTTGATTACAGGCTAAAGCAAGTGGGAAAAAACTGCAAAGAGTGGCACTATCAGTTAGTCTCAGAGGTATTCGTATGACAGATTTGGCAACAGAAGAGGATCAACTGCAAGTTTCGATATATAGGTGAATAAAAACAAAATTAATCGTTTAATTCAATTACATGCACCAGTAATTTAGTCATTAGCAAACACAATAGTTTTTATAATAACATTTAACAGCAATCCATATTCAAGCACTTGGATTCGGCAATTCTTTAATGCTATTTCATTCTCTCTCTCTCATATTATATATCTATATAGATAGAAGCAAAATTTTCTACGTAACCAATTTATCCACCGAAACAGAATCGATATTGACTCCCTGTTGAATTTTATCATGGCTATTAGCTAGGATTCGATTACGGGGACTCTAGAAAGGTTTACCCTCGACAAATCAATTACCTGAGATGATATTAGAGTACTTTTTATATTTAAAAAAATTCATTTCTTTCAAATTCAATATTTTATAACTTGATTTCTTGTGTAGATATTCATCTATTCACAGGAATATATTTTATTCTCATGTAATTTTTATTAAAATGTTACTAAAAAAAAATAATAAATATTTCAAAGGACCCAAGTTAATGAGCGTAGAGATATAATACTAGGGATTCAAATAAAAGTGTACTTGAATATTTTTACTTTACTTTGATGTTCCGTGAATCTTTGCATCATTAAAACAAACATTGCTGAAATGTAAGTAAGATAATCCTCGTTGAAGAATTACAATTTATTTTTATTTATTTTTTTTTGTGAATTTTTAAAGCCTCCAAGGAGTCATTTTATTCTGATTTCCCTCAGGTTAGAATGAAATTAAAGTTATCATTTGGTTTATAAAAGATAATAAAGTAATAAAATAAAAACCATGATTTCACAAGCAACAAAAAATTTTGTATCGAAAAGTATGGATATGTGAAAGTATATAAAACATCATGGAATAATAAGAGTTCAAGATAAATTTATTTTTACAGTATTTTATTAAATTAAAAATGGTAATTGGATTTAAAAAAATATCTATTTTATAATCATTTCAACTACAAAAATAATGTTTGTAAACTGCTTTCATCATTGCCCTTTTTTATTTATTCAACATGAAGTTTTTTTTAAAGTAAAGTAATTACGAAAAATTTATATGAAATAGTATTCTAACATATTTTACTTTACAAAGAAGTCCTTTTTTAAATATTCATCACAATCACATGAAAAAGAAAATAAAACCTAAAAGTAAAATTTTCATTGATCAAAGAACTTTCCAAAGATATTTTTTTTTATGTTTATCAACTCCATTTCTCTCATTGTACAAACCATTACATAAACATATGTAATATATATATCACTGTCTAAAAAAAAGTCATGTGAAAAATCTTACAATTATTCTTGCTTTTCTTTTGTAGAATTTCCTACTGCTCAGCAGATGCAACTCATGATCATGTATTTGCATTTATTGCAACGAACTTGAACGAAACGATGGAGTGTCATGCTTTTCTATGTCCAAAGAGGAAAATGGCTCAAACAGTAACTCTGACAGTTGCCCAAGCATTTAATACTGCTTATGAAGCTTGGCAATTATCCCAAACTGACTCAAGTATTCATCAAACCTCAGACAAGAGTCCCAATGAGATTTCAAGTAAGTTTACATAGTTTCTATCAAAACTAGATTTTCATTAAAGCTCGATTGTATGTACAGAAGTGTCTGATGTAAATTCTAATTTTGACACTTTAGGTTCTATAATAGCATTAACGGACATTAACCAGAATCAAGGCTTTAATCTCGCTCGTGAAATTTGATTGAGAACAGACGCTTGCGTTACATTAACCGGAAGAGCAGCTTACTCACATAATGCATCTATGTACTTCATGCATATGCATATTATTATATACCCGATATTATGAATAGAGTAGCACTTTGAGAGCTACCCTCTAGACTTTTTAATTCAAAGTTCTGATTAATTAAAAAATGTTTGAAAATAGACCCACCCTCTACAAGCTCTTTATCTGAGTCTATTTGATCACTAGCTCTCATGAGTCAATGAATTTCATTAGTGGAGATCAAACACAATATTAACTAGAGAGTTTATTAATTAGTAGAACAGATTTGTTTTAATTTTATACCCAAATAATTAAATTATTTACATTATATGTAATTATCTTCAATATTGAATTATTATCCCTTTTAAATTAATATTTTTAACCATTTCAATAGCTTTTCAATAGTTGTTGATAAATTCTCTGAAACTAACGAATTATGAAGCCATATAATTATGTACTCGACTTTTATACGTTGATACACATGGGAGATTATATGTAATAGGTATTTGTTAGAAATTTTGATAGAAATAAATTATAGCGAATTGTGTCATTTGCTTCAGCGGAAAATAACATCGGAAATTGAGAATAATCTTCCGAGTTTAATATATGAGATTATTTTTGATTTATTGGATAGTACCCGCATAACGAAATTTTTCCAAAATTAGAAGACATAAACATAGACATAACTTATTGGGTAAAAGCCCTTATAACCAAATTACTCTAAAACTAGAAGACATAAAAATGAGCACAACTTTCATACTAACGATGGTACGAGGTTTATTGAGGGTTCATTCGAAAGATCTCGACGAAAGGAAAAACGTCACGTAGTTCAAACCATAAATGGGGCATGATTTATGCTAAAATTGAAGAAAATTCCCGTTTTACCCCATTTAAGGAGTGAAATAATTAATTTTTCACATGTTTGGCCTAATTACGTATATCTACACATCAAGACGAAGAGAATGAGTGGTCGATCATCAAAATCGGACAACTTTTATTTTTCCACCCTAAAAATGGCAAGTGGTGCCCCTTTCCATTTTATTAGGTCAAAAAAAAAAGTACTCCGATTTTGATGATTAACCACTCATTTTATTCGTCTTGATGCGTAGAAATACGCAATCCGGTCGCCGCTCGAAAAAAATCATATTAACACCCTCAAAAAGGGGTAAAACTGGAAACACATTAAAACTCATCATTCTTTTGACTTCAAACCCCTATGGCTCATGAACAGACGGCCTAATGACCATTTTCAGGGACGTTTAAAGCAGGTTAAAATCTAAGCTACTCAAAGATATCCATAGATTCATTGAGAAAAACTTTCTTCACCCTTAAAATAGCTAAAATATATGAAAAAATCATAGTCTGACAGTTTTTCCGTGCGTTATAGAGAATCAAAGTCGAAAGTAGATATATAAATAAATTTTTTAAACGTTTTTTATGTATTTGTATCTTTAGCTAAGGTTCTGAAGTTTCCGAACATTTCTTAAAAATCATCATTAAGCAATTTGTACAGAAGTTATAGAGATCCAAAGTCAAAGTAACGATCAAAAAATCATCTACTTTCGACTTTGATTCTCTATAACGCACGGAAAAACTGTCAGTCTATGATTTTTTCATATATTTTAGCGATTTTAAGGGTGAAGAAAATTTTCCTCATGAATCCATGGATATCGTTGAGTAGCTTAGATTTTAACCTGCTTTAAACGTCCCTGAAAATGGTCATTAGGCCGTCTGTTCATGAGCCATAGGGGTTTGAAGTCAAAAGAATGATGAGTTTTAATGTGTTTCCAGTTTTACCCCTTTTTGAGGGTGTTAATGTGTGTTTTTTCGAGCGGCGCCCGGATTGCGTATTTCTACGCTTCAAGACGAAGAGAATGAGTGGTCAAACTTGAAAATCGGAGTAGTTTTATTTTTTGACCTAATAAAATGGAAAGGAGCACCACTTGCCATTTTTAGGGTCGAAAAATAAAAGTTGTTCGATTTTGATGATCGACCACTCATTCTCTTCGTCTTGATGTGTAGATATACGTTATTAGGTCAAACATGTGAAAAATTAATTATTTCACTCCTTAAATGGGGTAAAACGGGAACTTACTCCAATTTTCAGCATAAATTATGCTCCAATTATGATTTCAAGTACTGCAATAAAACGATTTCGTTTTTACAAATTGATTGATACGCTTATTTTTTATATAGGCCTTATAGATCCTGATTTATTATGAAAAAACTAAGTTATGCCGTAGCAAAGTATAGAAAACCTTTAAATGCCCGTACCTCGGAAACTATGAGAGATGCGGCATTTTTAAAGGAGTCTGAAGAAAGGGGGGTATCGATAAAAAATATATTTTTCTAGAACAAAAATACGTTATCTTATCTATAACATTTACAAATAAATTTTTCTTTGGTTGAAGGTACCACAATTTATAATATTTGTGATTTTCCAATTCGATAAAAGTATATATATATATATATATCCAACTATGTGGTTTTTCTTGTTTCTCATCAATTTATTGAAATTTGCTTGTATATTCATGAACAGTCTCAATTACTTGCACTCTAGGAAATATGATTTCTGTTTTAGTAAACTAGAGATGTTTCATATCAGGAATTGACTCGATTCAATCTTTTTTATTGAGATAGAAAGTAAATTTTTTATGAAAGCAGACTTAATGATATTTAATTGAGAAGTCAGGGCCGCAAACTTGTCAACTGTCTATTTTAATGGCATTAATCTTCATTAATTAAATGGAATGAAATTTTAATTTTGATTTATTTTTAAAGATAACGATGCTAATGGTACAGCCAAGTCTAATGGGAGTGAAATTCAAGAGAAAAAAAATCAACAGAAAAGTGAAAAGAACTTGCTTATTGATTTATCTAATGATACCAAACCATCAGAGAAATCCTGGGTAAATGTTATTATTATTATTAATAATAAAGAAAACTTTTTCATTGACGTCTTCCAATAATTCTGTACTATTTACATTTAGGTTTGCTTTGAAGAGGATGGTGCTACAGAAGCGAAAAAAACACAAAGGAAGAACATTGGAAATAACATCCCAATGACAACGATCAGACATGCTGGCAATACGAATCACCACGTAGTACCTAGGCCATCACCCGGATTCAAAGTACAAAATGCTTGGGGAGAATCACGACCCGTTGATTTAATATGCTCGTAGCAACCCTAGCCAAAGGCCGACAGCTTCAGAGATGTCCCACTAATCACAGGACTCTGGAAGCATTTGTCTATCAATGGCCCTACAAAAGCAACTGCATCAATTCAAAGCATTAAAGATACTTCATCAAATGCGAAAAAAGAAACGGATATCAACTAGAAGTGGGTTTAAGGTCAGGCTACAGGGAAGACTAGAATAGATTATTTTATTTTTTTCAGAAAAATTTAATGAAGAAAAATTTATTTCAAGTTCTAGGGTTTTGTGATAAAAGATAGATGTACTACTTGTGATAGATCTATTTAGAAAGTTTTAAAATTATTGGACAATGAATAACTTGCCAGCAAAAGATTATAAATTATGGTGATAAAACATTGGCTACAATTATGAATATTCAGATTAATAATTAATTCATAATAAAACAGTCTACGAGTTGAATAGTTTAGTTTATTAACTTAGTTTCATTCCAAAACCACACTTGGCTCAGTCAGGAGTTATTATAGTCCAATAAATAGTCGCAATATTTGATGATGATAAAAGTAAGTAATTTCTGAAGTTGGAAAATTATTGGAAGGGGATGATGCTAAAATCAACTAATCTGTAAATAATAAAAACTCTTCGTCTATATAAGGAAGAAAGTTAATCATAGAACTTCATGAAACATTATATTAATCAATATTACTTCAAATTCAACAGAATATTACTCTATTCTTCCAAAGATTGCATTCTTAGTAAATTATTATTTTATAATTATGAATTTAATTAGATAGAAATATCAAATTTTAAGAAAAAAAATTAAGTTGTAAACTATTTTTTGAAATATCAGCTAAAGCTACAAAGTCTCCAAAAGCTACAAGCAGTACATCTACTTTAATGATAATAAGAGAAATTGAAACTTTTGTATCATTTTAATTACATCAGTATTTATTGGAGTCCTTCTCAAGACTAAAATTGAAATAATTGTTACAATTTGTAAAAAACAATGACAATTATCAATATTCTGCCACATTCTGGTCTTCCTTAGATAGTTTCATAATGTTTATTCTCTAAGTGATCTTAACAATATCATCATTGTTACATAATCATAATAATTTTGTGGATTCTTTTATTGTTAGGTGATAAGTGTCATTATTTTTCATTATCATTATACAAAAGTTAATTTTATGACAAAATCGCCTTTTATAGGATCTATATTTCTTAGATATTTTACTCTTATACTAAGCTACTATATCAAGCTAATTTTTTTATTCAGACAAATTGATCTCTGAATTAGGGAATTTTTTCATTTTTTCAAATTATGAATTTTAGATTGTAGAATAAAAATAGGGAAAATTTATCATTATGTATACGGATAAAATACTTTCATTACTAACATCAATATTAAAACTGTTGGATTCAACTCAACGTTAAATAATTAATGAAAATTATTGATAATTCGAAGCTTAATGTAAGGATATACGTAAATATTATGATTAACCGAAAGAATTATTTCGTGTGAGTACATAATGGCTGTGTTTGTTTGTATGTTATATCCGCAAAATGTTTTAAAAGATGTTATCATATATTTAATTGAAAAGTAAAATACTTTTTTGAATTTTGTCTTTATGAGTAAATGCGATATTCAGTAATATTTATTCCGAATAACATCATAATCATGGAAACTGTCTTAAAAAATTTTAATAAATAAAAAGTAATATGAAAAATTAGAAAAGGATTATATGTTTTCTACCACTCATGCAGATAATAAATACTTTCACTCAAAAGTATTTCAAATACAAATACTTTAAAAGTATTTGAGTAGAGTATTTTGAATACTTTTACTCAAATACTTTACAAGTATGTTAAGAAGCCCCCTTGACTATTACAAATGTTTTTTATCAGTGTATGTGTATTATTCTTGGAGAATCTACGTTCAAGTAATTTGTCGGCCCTGAAAAGGGCCAATTGGTTTAAATGATTTTTATAAATTATTCATGACTTTTTAATGTTGTAAATTCATAACTAGCTACGGTGGCAAGTATTTGCATCCTGGTAAGCTGTTGTTCGGGAGAAACTTGATACAAAACTTCAAGAGCCTCTGCAGAAATTGGTTTCTGTAGAACATCAGGAACTGTTTTCTGTTCAATTTTAGGAACTGCTTTCTTCCGAGCTTCGGGAACCATTTCACGGACTTCGTCAGGGCGAAACACAACTGCATTTTCTGCGTCCATAGTTGCCTCTTCATCTCCCGGAAATAGCTTTTGACGGATGATCAAGTACATCTTTCGACTTGTTAAATACTCTGGCTTCGGTGATTTCATCGCCTGAGATTCGTGTGTCCTCTTGTACTCTTCTTCGATCACCACCTCGAATGCACCTTTGGAAAGCTCGCTAATGTTCGCGAAGTCTGTCATCTCGTTCAAATGAAATCAGGATCGTTGTAAGTGAATCGGTGACAAGTGTCAAGCGTTGTATGATCCTTGCAGAATCCTTGGTCCTATTTATACCTCCTCCAACCCTTGTCCTGCCCCTACTATAGTAGTAGGGATAGGCATACCTGTCCCTAACGAATCAGGTGAACACAAGCAAACATAATTTTGGAAAATTTTGTAATTGGTCCTTCAAGTGGGAAAGATGGTGGGGAAAATGGGAGTACTTCAGTTAGGCACCGACTACAATTCTTCGTTGGGGAAATTTTCTGGAAATTTCTATTGGGAATTTTACAAAAAAAATTTTTTTTACGCTCAACATTAAATGCATTAGATTTTTACTGGATAAAATATTCATGATCAATTACACATTCCATGTCGTAATTTTATTATAAATAATTATGGGGATCGTAATCATGAAAATTATCTTAAAAATATAAATAAATAAAAAATAATATGAAAAATGATTCAAGAATGAATTTCTAACTTTTCTCATCATCTCGACTTTGTCAACTTAATGTCCTATTTAATTTTTTCTATTTTTACTAATGAAAATTGTTTTTCACCCAATTTAATAACATTGCATCGTATTCGTTGACAACAAAAAAATAGGGCTGTTTTGATTTGGTAATTTTTTTCCACATACGAATACCTAAAAGTAATTCATGTGAAAAATATCATCAAGAGTAGAAACTTTTTATATTTTTGTTTTCAAGAATTCTCAATGTAAACTTTACGAACTCAGTTGGTGAATTTGTTGCAATCTGCGAGTTTTTGTGTACATCTGCATTCGGCAAGTTCCATCTCACGTAGTTTGAAAAATAAATAAACTCCTATTTGAACTCAACGGTCAACTTGGTCTCTCAAGTCTGTGTAAAGATGCTGTAGGGTATGTAGCTCAGTGACCTAGCAGTGAATCAACAGCAGTGATAAATGTAGAATCGGTTAGTATTCAAAGCAATTTTAGAAGATAAGCTTGGAAGAATTGAATTATTACTTAAATTGAATTTATTTAAATATGAATGGTAAATACTAACAACATCTATAAGATAATGTATTGATCATATTGAGTAATGTATTACGTATTTGAATTACATTGTATATTTGTTTAATATTTCATTATGACGCAAATTTTACGTTGGTAAAGAACATAAGCTCATAAAGTATGACATTAAGAAAAATGTATACATAGATTGATGATTGATTTAGTGATATCAACAAGTGTGATTGTGACAGATTATCATGATTGCCATTGTATTTAATGGGCCACCGAAAAATTTTTTATCACATTCGAATCTACTTGCTTCTTCAGTAGACTTGATCACATATTTAAGTCTTAAGTCGATTCAAAAATTAATTGAAATATTTTTAATTAAAAAAAGTTTCTCTAAAATAAAACTAAAATCCCAAGAAAACTTTGAAATATTAAAATTTATCAAAAAATTAAAAGAAAATATTTTTTCAAAAATTTATAACAAAAATGTTGAAGTTTATTTTGCTTGGTTTAGCTTGCTCAGTAGTGAGTCAAAAGGTAAAAACAATTTAATTAAATTAAAAACGACTTTTGTGAATTGTGTTTTGAACTTTATTCAAATGTATAGGTGGACGAAAAAATGACACTGGAGGAGTGGGCTAAAGCATTCCCAATAGCTGGTACTCAAGGTAAATATTACGTTATCATTACTTCATATATTCAAAACAAATACATGCATGACAAAAACTGCATTAACTGACAAACATCAAAAGAGTGTGACTGTTATTTAATTCAGAGCATATTTGGAAATCTACCAAATATATTTTCCCAAACTGCATCAGCTTGTTGAATGTTAAACAGAAATTTGTTTTCGTTAGTTAAATAATCTATCCAGAACTACAACTTGTTTAATGTATTTGTTGATTAAATTTCTCGACCAAAAAACAACAACTAAATTAGTAACATTATTATAATAAGCTGGTTTCGAATAAAATATGCTTCAATATTTCTTCCTGAAGTAATTAAATAACAGTATTACTCTTATTATTATTCTACCATATTGCACCATAAACATATATCACTATCACATGAGAATCTTTTTCATCAGATTAATCTGTGAAAAAAAATAAAAGCTGCATTGATGCAATTCAAAAATGAGTACTACAGAAAACTAAAATACTAATATTACAGATCCTGAATATGAAATTGTGCCTATTCATACATCTAGACTTCAAAAGAGAGATCTCAGTGGTGGAACTCATATCCAACTCAGAGCTTTTGGTAATAATATTAAATTATGGTTGAATCCTACTGATGGAATTTTAGCAGGAGATAAAACTCCAGTGTATGAGATCGTAAATGGACCTAAACTTCTTTATTATGGTGATGTAAGTAGATTCAACACCATCTAAGTTAATTGCGCTATGATCTAAACAAAATAAAATAAATAATTAAAATTGAATAATAAATAAGATAAATCAACATGACAAATTAATTGAATTTGTTTCTTGAAGGCCATGAAAAGGATTGCTACTCATCTTTATGAAGATTCATCTCATGCTGCTACAGTAGCTGTCAACAAGGTTGACAATCATGGTTACACTATGGTAAATATACTTCATCTGAAATGATTTAGTAGATTATTATACATAGTTTCATTAATATGGGTTAACGTTTGACTTCAACAGACTGGATACATTGGAAGTAATGATATATATCTTCGCCCATTCCCTCAACGCCTGATGAACATGGTTAGAAGATATAGGAGGTCGGTTGATAACATTCCAGAGTCAGAACTAGAAAATTATACCTATCATGTTGCTTATAAAATGTCTGAACTACCAGACAGTGTAAAATACCTTGAAGCTCGTAAGTAAAAAATAGTTGGTAACATTCAAATACTTCAGATCTATAGCGATATAAGGTACTTATCATTTTAAATCTCATCGCCAGCATTAAGAGATTCATCATCCAGATCAAAACGATCGATTCACAGCACAGTGTATCCTGAGGTTTTAGTAATCGTGGATTATCCTCTTTACAAATTGCTCAATAGGGATATTTGGGAGGCTGTATCTTATCTTTTGCCATTCTGGAATGCCGTTGATATGAAATTCCGAGGCCTAGAACATCCAAGATTTAGATTGAATATCGCTGGAATTATTCTTGCAAAGGTAATTTTAATAATTTAAGATAAAAATGTCTTTCAACTTTTTTATCAGTCTAATAAGTATGATGTAATCTATGGTATATTTTAATAGGACCCCTATGCTTTGAAATACATGGCAGCTAACAAATTCAGCCGAGATGAATTAATTGTTGATAAAGCTTTAAATGGAAGTATTTCATGGGTATTCAAATTGGAGCCAACTATACCAGTAGAAAAATATGATGTTGCTATTACTATGACATCGTAAGTGAAATACATTTGGATGAATTTTAAAAGATAGTATTATTTAGAAAGTATCAGGATAACATATTTTCTTCTGTAGGGATCATCTTTGCATGATGAATGGTCAAACTTGTCAGCGTGGAACCCTTGGTCTTGCATATGTAGGTGGAGCTTGTCAAATTGACAGACTTTATACTAGGGCTTCCAAAAATGCTATTATCCATGATAATGCTGGTTATGAAGGAATTCATACCACTGCACATGAATTAGGACACTTGTATGTAAACGAGACTATTCCATTTTATTTGAATTTTATTCATGTGCTCAAATAAATTCAACTATTTCTTTTTTTTTTTAAGATTTGGTGCTAAACATGATGGTGTTCATCATGCTGACTGTTCTCATCAAGATGGTTATATGATGGCTGGAAATCTTGTTTTTGCTGGCAAAGCATCAGATTGGTCTCAATGTACTTTGCAAGACTTTGAAGAATACCTTTCGTAAGTATTTACTTTTTTATTTTCTCTCTCATTTTATACTTTAATAAAACAATTTCTTACAACTTTTTTTGAACTCCTCGAAGTAATAGAAATCAATTTTAATTTGTGTGCTCAGGACTCAGGCTAGTAGCTGCCTTGATAACTTACCGAATGCTGGAAATCCAGTGCACCGATTCCTACCCGGTAAATTGATGGATGCAGATGAGCAGTGTAAAAGACTGAAAGGTACTCATGCTGGTCATAAAGTCGATGAAAATGTGTGCCAGATACTCTTTTGTCAAAGCCCTACAAATCCTTCAGAGTTCGTAGCAACATCTGAAGCTGCTGATGGAACCAAATGTGGTGAAGGGAAAATCTGTTTGCATTCAAAATGTGTCGATGAAAATAGTATTATTTAGTCATAGATTTAACAAAGAAGATATAATATATTTTTGTTTGCCATATCGTACAGTATTGTATCAAACTTTAAATCCTACCAGAAAGTTTATTGATTTTCAATAAAAAATATATATTTTATTAATAAACTATTTGATTATTTATTTGTTACCTTAAAAATATATGGGGATTTATTTGAAATACTATTAATAAGTATTTATTAATTTAAAAAATGAATCAGTCATCATAATTAGCATCGTCTTTATCAATTTATCACAATATTTTCAAATTCTACTTCATAGACAACTGGTAAAAATGATTTAATCATTTTAAATTATGTTTCCTTCAGTAGAAAAAGTTAGTAGTGTTCCAGTTATATGACATTCAAAATTATTACCTGCAACGAATTTTACACAAATAATATCAATTTTAAAGAAGAAAAAAATATATATTATACTGTACAAAGGTGTTATCGTGGAGGTTTATTTGATCAATAATTTATAAAAAGATCTATTTATGTCTCATATAAAGCAAAAACTAACACTAACAAAAAAGTTGGGTCACACATGGTTATTAATCATCCAGATAACTGTATTTATAAGTGATAATTGTAAATATTATTAAATTTACAAATAACCACATGAATTATGTTTTACTTTTTATTCAACAGAATACTAGTAATGATTTTTTTGTCAATTGTTTTTAGAATGTTTTCATTTGCAAAAATTAAACTTATTTAATACTAATTCGTTAATTCTGGTCATGTCTCATCAATAACTACAATTTTTCAACTTCAAGAAACCATAATAAAATTTTGTAAAAATATGTTTTTATTGCAATATAATATTAACGTAAAAAATAGTGAATTATCGAAATAGAAGTTAACTTGATCTTCATAATTATCGTCAAAGAAGCTCCACTCAGTCAACTTTAATGAAAGTTCATCAACAAAGTTTGTTATCTTAACACCACTAGAAATAGAAAATCTGAAACCTTTATTGAAAAGACAATATTAATGCAAAAAGAAGATATATGATTCTAATAACCATTTAGCTAGTTTAAAATAGAAATAAACTCATTTGGAAATATATCTTCTTATTTTATGTTTTCTAATAGCAATAGTAGAAATGAACAACCATGACTTCAAGTCCTTACCATCTGCAATGCTTGAAGAATTCTAAACGACTTCAGCAACGTCTTGAACACAACTACACTTCCTCTAACATGAAGCATCATCGTATTGCACCAACAGATATTGACCTGACTAGAAAAATAATAATAAATAAAATGTTGTTTGTCTTCATAAAAAAAAAATGCCCTAATAAATTTCAAAATACTTACGACAATACCAGAAGACTTATCATAGGGCATGTAATATTTTATAAACTTAAAAAGAAATTTTCCATGGTTGTCTAATACAGTATGTTGCTGTCAATATTGACGGTCAAATATCAAGTTTAAGCAAATAAATACAAAAAATATTTTTATTTATGAAGTTTTTGATTGATTTACTTGAATAATATAGCAATTCATCAATGAACTATCGAAGATATTTTAGCTTTATAAAGGCAAAATTTTTTATGATGGTATCACATTTAAGTTTTCTTTTTTTCTCTGAAAAATTGATAAAACCAGATACCTAAGCACCATGGCAGGTAATTATTAAAATTAATTCATCCTTAAAAATAAACTGACCATTAACTCATTAAAATTTTGGAAACATTCATTCCAGCTTTCAAAGTTGCAAAAATTATTTTGGGTCTGGTTTTCCTGGGAGTTGTTGGATCTGTATTATCTCAAGAGGTAGGAAGATTGGATTATTTAATTACATTAACATTTTTTTTTGAAATATACATACCTCCTATTAAAACTATTTAAAATTTCAGACTCCAGAACAATTGTCGCGAGAAGAGATTGTAGGAATGTTTCCTTTAGCTGCAGAACACGGTAATTCTAACATTTAATTAATAAAATTCAAAAACGAACCATGTAAACTATGATATAAACTTTTTTTTACAGAATATGAAATTGTACCTATTCATAAATCAAGATTACAAAAAAGAGCTCTTAATGGAGGATTCCATCTCACACTCACAGCTTTTGGTGAAAATATCAAGTTATGGCTCAATCCTCAAGAAGGAACCCTAGCATCTTATCAAACTCGAGTTTGGCTTCTACGTAACCGTGACCAATTAATTGAACAACCAAATGTACGTATATAATTATTAATAATATATCTTGAATTCATTCATTTACTTAATAATTTTTTCTTCTCTAAAGTACATGAGGCAAATCATCCCACGAATGTATCAAGATCATGCTAGCGCTGCTACTCTTTACATTGATAATCTTAAACAAGGAGCTATACAATTGGTAAATAGAATAAACTTTTTTCAAATAAATTATCAAACATCATTACTAAATGATTTAATTTTACAATTAGTACGGAGCAATTGGTAACAATCAATATTATGTCCAACCATTTCCAAATGGTAATTATCGAAGATATCCTAGATCAGCTGATAATAATACTGAAGCTTTCCCAGATCATCAGTATCATATTGTTTATAAGGTACCAGATGGGCGACAATATCTGAACAAATTACTAAATCGTAAGTGCTGAAAATTTTTTAGATAATAATTGCAAAAAAAATTTTATTATTTAATTTTATGAATGATTGGTATTTTATTTTTCTAGCTCTGCAAAATCTTTGGAATAATCAGCCTAATAAATATTCCCAAATTAATACGGTTTACCCTGAAATAATGGTGGTCATTGATTACCCATTATTTCAAAAGATGAATTATAGTTTAGACTTTGCTGTACGATATACATTGGCATTTTTCAACGCAGTTGATCTTAAATACCGTTCTTTTGATACTCCTAAATATAGACTGAACGTTGCTGGAATAATTGTTGCTGCTGTAAGAACTTTTTCGTTTCATTTTAAATGTATAAGCTATAAAACTGTTTATTATTATATTATATCAATTTGTAGGACCCAGAGGCTCTTCCTTATGCTCAAGAGGTTTACTATAATACCAAACCTGCCTTGTTGAATGCTGATGTTCTACTACAACAATCTGAACCATGGATGGGATGGTTGGGACAGATGATTGGACATGACTCTTTTGATACTGCTATTACTCTAACTTCGTATGTATAATAAAAAATACTCATAAATTTACACATGCTTTTGGTATTGATGTTATTAATTCATGATTTTTTAGGCGAACTCTTTGCGTTAATAAACCAGGCGGATGTTTCCCAGGCAGTATTGGATATGCTAATGTAGGACTGTATTGTAAACCATTTAGAGCACCAAATGATCCAAACCGACTATGGAGACGGGGCCATGGTGTAGTTTATGATTTTGCAGATTTCGAAGGCATTCGGACAACTGCTCATGAGCTGGGTCATTTGTATGTTGAATTTTATATTTTTTGTTATATGATTGGAATGAGTTTGAAAAAAATTGATCTATGATTTTTCTTTGTTGATGATCTTGGTCTATTGTTGATTATATTAAAATTAAAATACTTAATTACGATTGAAAAATTAATTCAGTTAATGAACATTTTCTAGATTTGGAGTTAATCATGACGGTGATAATTGGAAGAATCAAAACTGTGATGCTAATAAAGGTCATATTATGACTCCAAGTGTTAAATTTACAGATAATGGTTCAGAATGGTCTTACTGTTCCTTAACAGAGTTCCAAGAGTACCTCAAGTAAATATCTTTGGCTTTATTATTCTATAATTTTTTTTTAAGAGTATTCAAAATTATAATCTTTGTTCTATACAATTTTTTTAGCAATAAAGAACCAACTTGTCTATTTAATCAACCGAAAGGAACTGGAGACAAAATATCACGATTTTTACCAGGACAAATGATGGATGCTAACCAACAATGTTTTCACTATGTTGGAACAAGAGCACATGTAATCAATGAAAGTATATGCCGGTCGCTTGCATGTGTAGATCCTAATAGACCTGGGTATTACATCCAATCATTCGAAGCTGCTGAAGGCACTCGATGTGGACCGAAGAGTATATGCCTACATAGCAAGTGTGTGCCTTTGGCAAGCATTCAATAATGAATAACTTTGAATCATATTTTATAGTAATAATGCAAATGGTATACAATAATAGTGTTAAATATCATTGCATGATTTGAAAAAAATTATTTATTGCCATTTCGAACATGTTGATCATGAACTGAAAAAATTTATTAAATAAAACAAGATGTGCATATGAAACAATTTCTTTTTGTTGTCAACCTTCCATATTAAAAATGTTTAAAAGAGGAAAGAAGACTTAGAATTTCCAATAATAAAATTAACAAACATGTACACAGATTAACACGATGATTTTTTCTGAATCTTTTGTTTCTGATCTCCAGAAATATTTTCTATAATTGCAATAAGTGAAATTTTATTTCTAGTTACATGTTACTTATGAAACTTATGAAACATGGCTTCGTAAATCATTGGGAGCGAAAAAATTTGCAATAACATCACAGGAGACCATATATATATAAAAAAAAAAGAAATTGCAAACATCGTTGCCATTTAAGGTCACGTGACTATTTCAGGTATAAGGGTCTTGCGGACTACACCTGACCCTGCATGCAAATTTGATTTTTAGACCAGGATGTCATGAGGACCTTAAAATTAAACATAATTACAAGTAAAAGTAGGTAAACTGGACTCTTGGGAGTTAGGATAGCTCCTATAATTTTTGTAATAGTAAGTAAGAGCATTTCTGAGCTCCTGATCATAATTCCAACAATTTTCCCCTTTTCTTTCTAAGTTGGAATTGGTTCAGTTCGAATTCCAAAATTGTCCATTGACATAAATGTTAGAACTATTATTAATATATATTTGATTGAACTGAATTATCTCATATAAAAAATGCAATATGTCCAAGCAATCAATTTAGAGTATGCAAAATGTTATCAAAGCTATATCCAGATCAACAGCTTGTGTTCTATTTTATGAAATGTAATTGAATCAAATATATATTAATAATAGTTCTAACATTTATGTCAATGGACAATTTTGGAATTCGAACTGAACCAATTCCAACTTAGAAAGAAAAGGGGAAAATTGTTGGAATTATCATCAGGAGCTCAGAAATGCTCTTACTTACTATTACAAAAATTATAGGAGCTATCCTAACTCCCAAGAGTCCAGTTTACCTACTTTTACTTGTAATTATGTTTAATTTTAAGGTCCTCATGACATCCTGGTCTAAAAATCAAATTTGCATGCAGGGTCAGGTGTAGTCCGCAAGACCCTTATACCTGAAATAGTCACGTGACCTTAAATGGCAACGATGTTTGCAATTCAAGGCTCACAGCTCAAACAATTGTCAAAACTTGCTTTGACTTTAATTTAACAATGGTAGCTTAGCTACTATTAGCATTGTTCTCAGCAAGAGATTTGACATGCTTCATGGTCAACTAATAACTGTAAACCAACATTAAGGAAGGTTCACTCGTTCTATTCAGAGTGTACTCAACATGTATCAATGACAAAGGCAGACAAACACTGACTTCTGGCCAGATTCAGTAAAAGGATTCTTTAATATTTATCAAGTAGTCCTCAACTCATTTATAACCTATTCGATATTAAAGCGCAGGGTAAAGCTTGCTTTTCTAAATGTTTTTCAGACAAGTATATAAATAAAAAATTTATCAAAATACTTTCTACATTCACTGTACATGCTTTCTATACTATCAAAAGAAATGAAAGACACATTGAGTTTGTAGTAAACCATTCTATAAGTGTCTCTATCTATGCTTCAACAAAATACGAGTTTGCCATGCTTCAACTTAAGCCGGCAATTCATTATGAAAACATTTAACTCAATTCATTTTAGGGATTTCAACTTAAACAGTATTTAATACGTTGATTCATCCTTTCATTAAGTTCTATTATAAATTAAAAATTTAACTTACTAAAAATACAAATGAAGAATGTTAATTATTTCTTACAAGTATTTGTTTATAAAACTATTTTTCAAATGTGTGATATATTAACTGTACCTGAATGGAGTAAATTCATTATCATCAAAACCAAATAAAATTCAATCATTTGCTGTTTACTTTACTTCTTATAACACATCCATATGTTTTATCAATGTAATAAATAAATTGTTTGGAAAATTACTCACTTCCAGTATACGGTAACAGCTGCACATTCTGAGTAAAAGTATCTCCGAACCAATCAGATCGCTCGAATCTCTTCCCCCACTCCGTGTTCTCACTCGTGTTGTATGTTTCTGACGAGTTATCTCCGAGCCAATGAGCGTCGTTCTTTTTTCTAAATCGATTATGATTGGTTCGGAGATACTATCATGAACAGTATAATAAAAAAATCGTCCCAGTGCACTACACCGAGCCTTGAATCTCAAGTCTTATTATTAACGCATCACCATGCCTCCTAAAGTCAGTGGAAAAGCCGTCAAAAAATCTGGCAAAGCCCAGAAAAACATTTCGAAGAGCGACAAGAACAAGAAGAAGCGTAAGAGGAAGGAGAGTTACGCTATTTACATCTACAAAGTCTTGAAACAAGTACATCCTGATACTGGAGTCTCCAGCAAAGCTATGAGCATCATGAACAGCTTTGTAAACGACATCTTCGAGCGCATTGCTGCTGAATCATCCCGTTTGGCTCATTACAACAAGAAGTCAACCATTACATCCCGGGAGATCCAAACTGCTGTTCGCCTACTACTTCCTGGAGAACTCGCCAAGCATGCAGTTAGTGAAGGCACTAAAGCCGTCACCAAGTACACCAGCTCTAAATAAATCAATACCTTCGGGTATTCCAAAACGGTCCTTTTCAGGACCATCAAATTTTCTTTACGTAAATCTATCAAGTTGTTAAATACCTAATTTTAATTATTTCATTTCAGTTATTTAAAAGTTATCTATACTAAATTCTCACATTGTCAATACAACATTATAACATCTATTTCATTCTTGAATGATCAAAACAGTTAATTTTCAAATTAGATAATTACTTACCAGTTTTAACAATTTAACATGACCAGTCATCAATATAATCAACTTTTAAAACTTTCATACCCTATTGATATGTATTCTAATGAAATATGAATAGTGTAGGTAGATAATATACTCTAATATTTTGGAATGGCTCATATTAACACAAGTATTATAAATCAGTTTAAATTTAAAGTTTATTTTCCAAATTAATCAAAATAAGTATAAGCACATTACAATAAATTCTGAACATTTCCTGTCATTTTTTACCATTTCACATCAGCTTCAAAAATGCATTCGCCATGAATACATAACTTTCCTATACCACAAGTTGTACCCTCAGCTGCACCATTGTAATAGGTTTCATTCGCAAAGCGATCAATTTTGGACACACATACTAATTCTCGACAAATTCTATCATCAATAACAACTGCCTTTGTAGATTCAAGTTCATAACATTGTTCATCAGCAGTTAATGCCCTTCCTGGCAAAAATGCAGGAAACACTGTTTTAACTCTTGGTTTATTGTAGAGACATGTCATTCGATCAGTGCTATACAAAAATTCATAAATTAGTAGACTTAATTAATTGGTATTTATTTCATTATTATTACTATCAATTACTCACAGTAATAAATCTTCAAATGCCTTTAATGAACAAGTAGACCAGTCTGACATATTAGTTCCCAACTGTGTCATACTTGACATAATACCAGTAGTTAGATTGCAATTATTGAGACCCTGCTCATCATGTATAGCCCCAAGCCTTGAAAAGTTTAATAGTTACCTTTAATATTAACAATCAAAATATTTAAATACTTTCATTTCCAATGGATTCAATAATTCACTTACAAATGTCCAAGCTCATGGGCAGCAGGACCTATACTTTGAAATCCAGCTGTATCGTGGACAATAGCAGTTCTTCTAAGAACAGGATAATATTCTCCATTCATATGCAGCAATTTTCTGCCTTCACAAATACTACCTCTTGATGCTATACCATCAAGACCTCTTTGACATTTATTTCCTTCTATTACACAAGAGATTTCTCTACAAGGATAATAATTAATGTTACAAGTTTACTCCATTTACACTATGTTTCAGATACTTCTAAGTTGATTTGATTTTTTCTCAAATTTATACTCACGAAGTCATAGTAATAGCTGCATCGAAATGGAGATGTTCATGTCGTTGACTTAAAGTGCACAACCATTCCATAAAATGCGTTAGTGCCTCATCAATTAACAGATCATGTGATTCGTCTGGATATTTATGTTGCATGTATGAAAGAGAAAAAGGACTCTGTGGGATATTTTAGATAATAATTATCATGATTAGTAAAAAAATAAAAAATTGTAATTTAATTGAGCCTTACCGTAGCAACCATTATACTAGCGACATTCAGTCTAAATTTTGGGTTTTCAATACCTCTGTATTTCATATCTACGCCATTCCAATAGAGTAATACGTATTCTATTGCCTTAGGAAGATCAAAATCAAACAATTTGAACAATGAATAGTCCATAATAACCATTACTTCTACATATAAGGTTTCTGGATGTATCGATCGTTTAGATCTAGATGAATTTTGTATCACTGAAAATGAGAAAGTAACAATTAAAATTGTTTAATAACATTTAAATAATTACACTGCAATTCTATAATTCAAATTTTAAACCATTGATAAAATCGCTTATGGTATAAATCATTTTTTTCCTCTATGAGCCTTCAATAATCATCAATGATATTTAGATCATTCAAAAGGATTTATTTAAATTTATTTTTCTACTTTATGTTTATTTTTGTCATTGATGTGGATTTTTATAATTATTTGTTATATTAAAAAAAATCAATTTGTCAATGGCATCAAGGTACATGAAAGAAAAAACTTACGAGTATCAACATCAATGGGATACTTTTTATCTTGAGGTCTTTTGAAGGCAATATGATACATAGTACGATTATCAAAGTCCAATTCTGAAGCATCATCAACTGATCTTCTATATCTTCTTGCATAGTTGATATAATTTTCAGGAATAGGACGAATATAGATGTCATGAGCACCAATTACTCCATGCTAAATAAAAAAGAAATTTAGAAAAGTAACTCATTAAAAATCATTCCTTCATAAAGTTAGAACTTTAGCAAGTAAGTATGATAAATTCTTTTTATTTAATTCTAGTAAAAAATTGATCTTGATATGAATTTTCTTTTATAGGAAAATATTAATTTAGAAGTTTTATTAAGGGCTTACCAATACAGATTTTCCATCTGGAGTATCATTGATAGCTAAAGTAGTAGCTTGAGAGAAGTCTTCATACAATGAAATTAGAGTATCAGCAACAACCTTCAATAAATTCGATGATGTTGAGTTTCATTTTTTAGCTTTCTGATTATTTTTCAATCACAAGTTACTTACATGTGGATGTTCTGCAATATTAAATCCAGGTAAAATTGTTTGAACAGGAGTTTCTATACTTGCTAATACTCCATCTACAGGGTTCAACCATAATTTGATATGTTCTCCAAAGGCCTTCATATGAATATGTGTCTTTTGATCAGCATCTCTTTTCTGTATTCGTGATGGATGAATTGGAACAATGTCATACTCTGGAACTGAATTAATAAAAATTTTTAAAAAAATATACTTTACAAATTATAAATTAAAAGTCTAACTATTCCATACTGCAAATTTGAGTATCATCGAAAACTTACCTTCATTGTTAGACCCTGGAAAAAGTTTAGCCCACTGTTCATCAGGTATTTTCTCGTCAATCTAAAATTTTTATTTGTATTTTGTTTAGATGAATTCAATATCTTATTAATTAAAATCTGTTTTCGTACCGTTTTTGATATCGATGCTTCAAGAGAGTTGAATATGATTAATATTAAAATCAATTTCGCTGGCTTGTATCCTAGAAATGAATCATTTATTATATATTTACTTCTCTTCTGAATAATTCATTATCGAGTCAAAAGGTTTATAATTACCTGACATGATGAGAAGGTTTATTATTAAATCCAGTTTTCTTTTCAACCTACCAAAAGAAACTATCATACTAGCAACATCTTCAACTTTTTATATACCAAATGGAATCCACTTGGTACATCAATCAGAAATTCATAGATCTAATATTTTATTTTTGTCATAACATATTGCACCTGAACGAATGACAGGTATATAAAGTGAAGTTTTTTACTATAGATAGTATAGAAAATATGTTTTCTGTGTTATGGATAAATCATCAATAAATATTAGGAAGTACATTACAATATCGTTTCCTAGGCCATATATTTGCTTTTCAGGGTCAATTGAGACTAATTTATGTATTATTACAGAATATTTTTTATGTAAAATTTATTTTCGTTGTGAATCATACAATTTTTAAATATTTGCAATTGTCATTGATTCTAAAATACATAAATACTTTTCATTTTATTTGAGTTTTTATTTATTTTTATGTCAACATCAACTTATTTTCTATATTTAAACTTTTTACTCCATACTTTACTTCACTTATAAGTAGTTCATGAAGATTATTATTATCAACTTCCCATTAGGAAGTTATAGTGATAGGGTTGATTTTTAAAGAATGTAATTTTATCACATTTTCACGTTTTGAGATATTTAAAAGCCTATTATAAGGTTTTAAAATGGATAGATGTATGCATGCCCGTGTGAAAAAAAACGAACCTGCGGAACTCCAAACTAGTTCTGCTCCAAAACGTTCCTCAAATTAAGCAGAGCGGAATTATACAGATTTTTCATCCGGTGTTTGTAAAATGCACGTCTCAAAAGTCTCTCAATATTTGCACTTATCGTCCGCCTTTTATAGGTTGAATGAGAATTTCTCCAAGAGAAAAATGTAAGGATGGAAAACAATAAATTTCTCAAGTAAGAAAAGGGCATTCGTTCTTACAATATACATTGTATACAACATGTTTATAAACATGTAAATATGTTTACGCTTTTAAACATTTACTTGAAAATTTGTCAAAACGTATTAACATTTAACATTGTAACATTGTAAACATTTAAGTATTTAATAATTAAAAATTTTTTCTTTATAAACACTTGAATTTTTATATCAACTATTTTTACATAAAATATCAATTAATAATAATTAGCAGATCTACGTCTAATTTATAAACTTAGCTATTGATAATTAAAATCACCTTATAATTTCTTTATTACTGACTTTACGACAGGGTTTTTTCGGATTATAATTCAATCCTGATGAAATGATATGATGATGTCTATTTCATCGAATTAAATTTGAAGTATATTTAATCTGAGATAATTATAAGTTGTGTGTCATACTCTGCTATACCTCACAATTATTTATTTACAATGGTGAAAATAGTGAGTATTCTATTTCATTTATGTTCATATATTAAATGGATCAATAATAAATAATTGTGCCAAAAGTCATAGTCACATCAGCTGAGCATTTCATCAACTTATCTGCAAAATATCAGGTAACAACTGTCTGATGAAACTTTCCCTGGAAATGATATACTTTAGACTTTTACATTACACTATTAGAACATTCGTTTTATTATATCTTTTTATTATTACTACTTACTTACTATCTATTAAATACCTGTGACAAAATTTATTTGTTTTGTTCTAACAGCTGAATAAAGCTTCATATACCACAATTATACATCTTTCTAAGTAAATGTTAGATAGCATAATATCACGTAAGCAAAAAATTCCAAATGCATGACCTGCTAATTCAAACAGATAATCCTTACAACCATGTTTTTATTATAGAATTGTTCAAACATAATTCATATGTATAATATATCTCGATGTTCCAATTGCCACCTATAATTAAACTCCATTTTGGGAATCATCAGTCTCATTGAAGATTTTCATTTCTTAAATTGATCATCAATGTCATCATAGATTTTTATAACATTGTTTGTATGGCATTGATATATTTTTGACTCATTATTAGACAAACTCATAATAGTTTGAAAGCTTTTTTATATGTGGACTTACCAGTTGGATCACTGACGGAATTCTTATCTTTCGTTATTGTAAGGGATTATTATAAATTTTATACTAATAGATAAAGTTAGATAAAAACCTGGATGGCTACTATATAATTATATCACTTCTGAAGCTAGTAATCAGTTATTTGTAATTGAAGATAGAATTGAGTTTAAGGAACTTGTTGAGATTTTATGACAATTGTTTTTATTGTAACATAATGGCAAGTGAGTATAAGAGTTTACTACTAATGATTTCATTCAGAAACAAACAGTTTATCATGACTGAAAGTTATTATAGACAATAGTTTTGTAAATGTTTAAATTCATTTTTTTTTGTATCTCAATTTAGAAAATTATCTAATGAGACTGGTGGCATTTTTGATGCTTCTGATGATGGTGTCATCAATGGAGCTACAGTGGAAACAGGTATGTATGACAGAATTTAAAAAATGTATTACAACAATATATATCAATGTTGCTTTTAAATCTAAAAAGATTATTAAGTCAAAAAATACCAAGAATTATTTTTAATTAATGAAAGTTTAGTGCTAATAACTATTCAAAATATTAACTTAATTCAATAAATAGATCATTAATAAATTATTATTTAATTAGGTACATAAATTATTACCACCTGAAGAACGTATACGAATTTTTGGAACTCATGATAAAAACAAAAGTAAGGATTTACTTTTAAAGTAAAGAACACTGTAATTGTTTTTTTTTTTTTAATTAATTTGATTAATATTGAATCTGATTACAATAACTTTATTATTATTTTTAGTTCCTAAGTATGATGTCATCCATATCAACTGGTCCAAGCATCAAAAGAGATCAATCAATGGAATTATTCCCCTTTCATTTTCAGTATTCAACAAGGATATTGATTTGAGCTTGGAATTGTTAAGCCCACTTGTTGGACCAAACACTCCTGTTTATTATTTCAGAACATCATCAGAAGGAATTAATTATACAATTGATTATGTAAGCTAACAAGATATCTCATTATAAAGAGTTTTTTTATTTGATATTATCATCACTCTTAGTGATTAAAAATATTGATGATTTATTCATTTGCAGCCCTTTGCTGATTATTCTACTGAAATATATAGAGATGAAAATCACTTAGCTTCTTTAAGTGTAAATGAAGAACCTAACGGTGAAAAACACATTGAAGTAATATTTTGAAAAAAATAATTGTTTAATCATCTTTTTATTTACTATTATGCATAAATTAATTAAAAAATTCTTGCATTTGGTTGATAGACTGGTGTAATTAGAGCTCTAAATCTAACTATCCATCGAATTCCAAGTCGTTTTTTAACTGAAAGAAGAAGTTATTTTACTACAACTGGTAATGGTTATTACATTGCTCAACATATGAATGATCTTGAAGGAACTTTTTCAGATCGTAAGTCATCATCGTATTTTGTTGAATAATTAATTACTTGTTTTTTCTTATAAACTTTGTTTTTACTAAAAAACTTTTTTTTATTTTATTGTACTTTGCTATTTATTTGATATATCTGTTCTAGCAATGTTCAACAATTTGATACCAGACTCATTTAATCCATTCGTGCCCAGACCTAATGTTGTTTATCCAGAAATTTTACCACTCGTTGATTATTCACTGAAACGTAATTTCATGACCAATGATCATTTGTTAACTTATGTTCTAAATTTTTGGAGTCAAGTAGACATGTTGTTTCAAAATCTAAGGGATCCTGAATACAAGCTCAGTATTGCTGGAGTTGTTGTGGCTGAGGTCAGTTAAAAATAAAGATTGATTAAAACAAATTCACAATTTACATTATTACATGTCGTAGGATATGACAGCATTTGACTTTATAAATGACAATTCTATCAATATTGATGCAGACAATGAAAAATTACATTTCGAAGGTGCTTTAAGTGAAGTAGAAGAGTGGTTGTATGATTATCAAGACATTATTCCAATGGATAGTTATGATGTTGCAATGATTCAAACATTGTACGTATTTATACGTTTCTATTTAAAAAAATAGAAAGATCTTTTATTACTGAATTTAGAGAAGTTTAATGAACTATTTATTTCAAACTAGAAAAAAATCTACTAAAACCTCGGTTAAAATTACCAATAAGTCCAACATTATAACATCTGAAGTTGGTTTAGCAGAGTTTAGAGGTGCATGTTATATCAATCATGTAGATCATGTAGTAAAAAAAGCAGGAATCATAAATGATGATGGAAAATATAGAGGTGTTCTTGTTGCAGCTCATGAATTGGGACATACGTGAGTGCATAATCATTAAGTTAGTTAAGAAAAGTCATTATTAAATGTAAACAATCGTTTTTCTTTCGAAATTTAAGACTTGGAGCTGATCATGATAGACCAGAATGTGGAGGTGATGATGCAGGTTTTCTAATGTCAGGAGTGACACGATCACCCACATCAAACCAGTACAAATGGTCTCAATGTTCTGTAAAAGATTTTGCATTATTTCTAATGTAAGATATTCACATATTAAGTTATTGATGATTTATCTAAGATTTTAATTATTTAAATTGTGTTTGTTTTTTTATCAGGACAAGTCCTCAATGCTTGTACAACGTACCAGAGCAGTACAAAGACTTGGAACCAAATTCTTCTTCAGATGACGAAAAAGTACCAGATGATGCTCAATCTGTTGATTATCAAATATTTGATATTCGTTCTGTATTGCCTGAAAACAATAATTGGAAAGTTATTGGAAATCCTTTTATAATTTTAGATAAACATCACAATTGATGAATCTAAAAATAAGTATAAAAAACATTGTTAATAAAATAATGTATTCCAAAACTATGGGAAAATGATTAAATATACCAAGATAATAAGAGATTATGAATATACAGAACATTTATTTTGGGTATTTGATAAAAAAAAAATACATAGTAAAGTTTATTTATTTGGAGTAGATTCCTTTCTAAACAAAAATATGTGACAGGAGTGCTTATTATTGTATATTTGACCTCTATATTTAATACCAATGATATCTCTTATGTATTAAAACATTTACATCTTTATTTCATGAATTCTTGATTCTCTATTGCTACTGTATCTCTAAAGATGGAAAATCTAAATTAATAATCTTGAACAAAATAAAGATATATCGTATTTACAAAATTAATTTTACTCATTAATTGTCTGATATAGTAATTATTCTGCTCTCAGTTCATGACATCATCGACGTATTTCTAATTATTTTACTCAAAATGTCGAACTATTATTTATGAATCAAAATGATTTAAGTTGCAAAATTATAAAATCACATGTCTCAATGAAATAATCGTTGATTGATAATGAATGCACGTTGGATCAACTGAACTCTGGAGTACATTTTGAATTGGATTTGGCGACCTTGATAGAGTTCAACAAAAAAACTTAATGTAGCACTAATTAATCCAATAGCTAAAATAGAAAAACTAAAAACGAGATTCTCTAATTTTATTGGATGAAAATCGTCATCAGAATTCTTATGAGTTGCAGCAACATGGCGATTTTCAATACTTTTTACAAAATTATTAAATTTATATGATCGAAAACCAAATTCTTCAACGAACAAGAAAATGAAGTTTACTCGATTTTTTAGAGGCCAATATTTATGGATTGAAAATACTTTATAACGTGTCTCTAAAGGTTTTCTAGAGAGGTACAATTGTTTTTTTCTCTTTGTAAACATAAGTAACATTTCATGATCAACAATGCAAGCAACAGAAGAGTCTTTATGCAAAATATGCTTCAAACATAGTCTAGTATGATAACTACCAAACGTTTTCTGTTTGTCTGTAACTGCTAAATGTTTTTTAACATAACTTGAATCATAAACTTTTGTGTATCCAAGATCTTTCAAATCTTCTCTAGTTACTGGGTGCCTTCTTAATTCTGGTTTAGTCAGGAACTTAGCCAAATGACCATTAAAGGTTGCTTGGACTATCAGAAAATAAATTAAAATTGTGATAAAAAAGATCCTAAGTGGCAAAGTATTCATACGAGTATAAAGACTATGATTGATTAATAAACGAATTATTTCAAATACTGCAAACGCTGTTTTTCTACTTTCAGTCAACCAAATGACACTAAATGTTATCAACAGCACAAAAGTAGTAAATAAAATTGTCCAAAAGCCATAAAAATCCCAGAGCTTTTCTCCAAGTGTTTGATAACCACGATTGTATGTAACAATTATGTACTCTGAAAAAGCAACAGGATATGTTCGCTTAAATAAATTAGTTCTTGATAGAAATTTAGAAGAAAATTGAAGTGGTTGACGAATCATTATTAAATTTGCTGATGAATTCTGGTAAACTTTGATTTTTTGATATTCCGCTGATTTATGCTTTTTATAAGAGCGTAAATTTTCATAAAAATATAGACGCAGAGTTACATTTAACTCCATTGCTAGAGAGTCAATTATTATCTTTCGGTGATCTTCTATTACATTATTAGCAACTGGTATATCATCATAGTTAACCAATTGTCCTAGGAATGGTTTGGCTTCATCAGTATCTACTGGATGTGCTACAGTAATCTGATATCCATCAAGATACTTTGTTCGATCGAAATCTAGCTCTTGGCATTGAATATCTAAAAAATGTGTAAAATTAAATTCTCAATTAGTATATAATTGAATAAATAGATTGCATTACCTTTGTTATACGTCCTTTGATAGAGTGTCCATCGTGATTCCTCCATCGAATCGGTCATTTTTATCCAATTACTAGGTGCTCGATTGGTGAAAGGATTGTAAGTATAAATTCTAACTTCATTATTTTCAATACATAAAAAATATGATGTTAATATCTTGTACTCCCATACACGTTCTAAAATTAACGATGCAATTTTACAATTATCATAAGGCAGATTCAATATAAAAACAGGAATCATGACGTTCCACCACATTGTTCGGCTCAAATTTTCAAGACTATCAACTAATTCTTCTGATGATTGAGTATTAATCAGAATTGCATCAATTTTCTTCACATATTGGAATGCTTTGAACTGCTTCAAAAGTTTTTTGAAAAGAATTACTGAATATAACTGTTCATTTATTTGTTGAATCGCAGATGGATTAATTTTATTTGAATCATCACTAATAACAATCATACTGTAATCGTTTTTACAATGTTTAAATATCTGGAACTTGAAAAAATTTAACAATAAGAATAGCCATCTATCTAAAGAACACTTAGTTATAAACTAAGTATGATAATTAAATATTCACCATTGTTTTCAAGACACATTGGTTTTTATACTGATTTTGTAAAAGCACTTCAGAAGCAACAACTCCAAATAAAAAATAAACACTTGACGATTGATGAAAAAATTTCATCTTGTTTTGAAGAAAGAGACAATCTTCTTGGTGAGGTCTATCTTCCAATGCAGAGGTAGAACACAGACAGTCTCAACATAAAGTATGTAATGATAAACTGCCCTATTTTTCCAAATATAAAATGTAACTTTTATTTAAACAATGACATTGTGTGTATACACAAGAACCATCACTAAAAAAAACTTTTGTATACATTGATGACAAAAATTAGTTGATTTAGACATAATCTATTCATAGTTGATAAATAACTTTTTGGAGTAATATTATGTGAAGTTGGATAGTCTAGTGAATCAAGTAAATAGAAATTGGTTATTCTGAAGGGTCATTTGTTTGAATAATTTTTTTCCAAGATTCTTAGAGAGAAGAGTATATTTAATGGCATATTAGCAATAATTAAAAGCGATCTATATATATATATATATATATCAGATTTGATAATAACAGAAAAAATAAGTATGAGATGGATCGATTGAATGATTCTACATTGCTGACATGAAATACAATCGTCATTTGTTTATTTATACTTACTACAAGATTCATTAGCTAACAAATAACAATAACAATGACCTCCAAAATACATGAGTCAACACTTATTAATTAGTTGAAAATGTTTGTTGAATGAATTGACATGAAGTAAAAATAATCTTTCTTTTCGAAATAACTAAAAAATTTATTTAGCTTGTAATAAAAAAATTTTTTTTTTTTAAACTGCATGTAAGTTTTAAGCTTGGACTTTAGATTGATGTTGAACAAAAATTACAGGAGTTAGTCAAAACTTAGTATAAATATAATCGAAGGAGTAATGTAATCAAATAATAAAGATAAGCAATACATGTTTTACTGTATAGAAACACTACAGCAGAAGATACAATGGCATTCAAGTTCAAATTTGGGCTTAAAACAATAGGATATTAAATGAATATTTTATATAGTACAGTCATTGACCTTCAGATAAATTTTATCAATCAAAAATGGTAAATTGATGAAATGTCAGAACACAGAAAATTCAACGTAAGAAAATTTGATGGCCCTAAAAAGGGCCGTTGGTTTAAACGAAATGGTGTTTAACCACCAAATCCGTAGAGTGTACGTCCTTGACGCTTGAGTGCGTAGACTACATCCATAGCCGTGACAGTCTTACGTTTAGCGTGCTCAGTATAAGTAACTGCATCGCGGATCACGTTTTCAAGAAAGACTTTCAAGACTCCACGAGTTTCTTCGTAGATCAATCCAGAAATACGTTTCACACCACCTCGACGAGCAAGACGACGGATGGCGGGTTTCGTGATTCCTTGGATGTTATCACGAAGCACTTTACGATGCCGCTTGGCGCCTCCTTTTCCAAGTCCTTTTCCTCCCTTACCACGACCAGTCATGATGATTCAGTTGAATATGATAGCAACAGAAACTTCAAATCGAGATAGATGACGAAACTCAATTTCGGAGGGTTTATATAGCATTCACGACATTATCCCTACTACATTCGAACCACCAATCGCTTTCCAACAAAGTCGATCGCCCCTCTCTACTACACCAGCCAATCACGTGGTAGTGTGTTTGAGAAAGTATATAAACGACCGGCCAGACCCTCGTCAGTTATATTTCTGTTGACGTCGCTAACCTAACCACGTTAAAAGAATCCTACAAGCATGGCTCGTACCAAGCAGACTGCTCGCAAATCGACTGGAGGTAAAGCTCCTCGAAAACAACTCGCTACCAAGGCAGCTCGTAAGAGTGCGCCTGCAACTGGAGGTGTTAAGAAGCCTCATCGTTACCGACCTGGAACTGTTGCTCTACGAGAAATTCGTCGCTACCAGAAAAGTACTGAGTTACTCATCCGTAAATTGCCATTCCAACGGCTTGTTCGTGAAATCGCTCAGGACTTCAAGACTGACTTGAGATTCCAGAGCTCAGCTGTGATGGCTCTTCAAGAAGCCAGCGAAGCATATCTCGTTGGTCTTTTTGAAGATACCAACTTGTGCGCCATCCACGCTAAACGAGTAACCATCATGCCCAAGGACATTCAACTTGCTCGTCGTATTCGAGGAGAGCGAGCTTAAACTGCTTCATAGACCAACGGCCCTTTTCAGGGCCATCAAATTATCTTACTAGTATCTCTCAAATTCCAAAACTTTTAGCTATTAGAAGTTGAAATAATTATCAAAATATTCGACTTTACTAACAAATTAATCAATAAATAATTAGATGTCCTTTTGATATCTATCAACTCTTGATATATTTTAATATGAAAAATTTTCTTTTAACTTCTATTTAAATTTAGATAATGTCATTGAAGTATAAAGTAACTACAAAAATCACGTACATTTCAACAAGTACTTGTCTTTATTAAGATTCACTTAAAATTTTTCTAATATCTTATACAAAAAATTCAAACCTTCAATACAAGTCATACAAACTCAAATCTCATAACTATAGAGCAAGTAAAAAAGACCGAGTCAGCTAATACAAATACATTTCTAATTAACTTCCCATTGAGACGTTAAAAATCACTTTATCCAATACAGTTCTGATCCCTTAAAATTTTTCAATCTTTTAAAAAATGAATGAAAATAATACAAATTTTGATTGCACACTTTTCAAAGATCGAAATTTCTGAGAAATTTATTGAGTAAATATTACCATGTCATTAACATATCGAATACTTTATCGTAAAATTCAATTAATTTGACAACTGAATCGAACATTTTTTTCCTGATCTCATGAAAGACACGTACAATAAAAATTATATAAATAGATTTATGTAACAACAAAAGCACACAATACCACAAAAAATATTTACATAGCATCTATATGTTAGTATGTATGTATATTTGAGATTCTCCCACAATTTGACACAATCAATCTCGTTTTATACATGATCGCCATTTGATTTTATGTTTCTTCAAGCATGATGACGGCGACGTCCATGATTCGGAATTTCAAATTCGTAGTCACCAAATTGATCTTGAAAAGATGTCTCTTCCGGCATATCGACATAGTCGAAATCAGCTTCTATATGATTCCTTTTATCTCGAACCAGTTGATTTCCAATTTCTTCCTTCTCTAACATGTCTATCCATTCGTCCCCTAAGGGTTCAAGGCCAAACGATGAGACCATTTGTAAACAAACCAGAAGCACACACAGTTTGACGAATAGATTACCTGAGAACAACACCAAATATATAAATAATAGCTACGGTTTACATTAGAAAGATCGTAGATAGATGATTACTGATATTCAATTAATTTTAAATACAATAATATAGAGAAAAAACGTGATTTCAAGCTTTTCAGTTCGTTGTACCTCGAATTTTATAATTGGGAAAGAATTTTTAATTCAAATTTAAATAATTATAAAAAAAAATTTTTTAAAATATTTTAGTAAATAATATATTTAATTACCAGCCATAGTTTTATGAGAATTGTTATTCACGAACTGTACAAGGTATTCGTATTCAAATAAGGAAATAGTAACACTGAATCTATAACAACGGAAGACGGTATTTATATAGCTATGTTTCGACACAAGAGGAAAAATAGTGATAAAACTTGTTGATATATCATGGACGATAAAAAATCATTCAATTATGCCCTAACAGAAAAATTGTTATAATATGGAAAAATCAATGATATTAACATACACGTCATTGTAGGCTTGAATGTATGTTTTGACCTCGACAACATTTTTTATAGACCATGAAGATAAAATGAAATAATGTAAAACTTGACGTAAAAGATGAATTTGACATTACATCTTCCATTTCATCATCATCATATCGAAGGGATGTTTATATGTTCTTTTACATAATGTTAATAAATTATGCAAATGACTTTTGAAATTCTGATACAGTTATTTAACGCCTGTCTGGTTTAAATTAGAATTATTGATTAGATTTGATCAAATTTATTCATAATTCCATCTTTATGATATTAATGTTTGATTTATTATTATTTATTTATCATTCGAATATGGATTTCTAAAAATATTTTTCATTTTCACTTTTATAAAACGAATAAAATAAACCATCAAAACTAACTAAAGTCAAAAATTTATCGTTTTCTTATCAAATGAAAATTTGATATGAAAAGTTTTATGTCGAAATAATGCCTTAATTGTTTTTTTAATATATCTAAATAATCGATCTTTTTAGTATTCATGAAATATAAAAATAACCGTCGGTTAAGAATAAGAATTTACTTTGAATATCACACTTAAAATAGAAGTGATATTAATATGATTTTAATTGAATCAACAACTGTAGATAAATTTACTTAAAACATAAGAGAAATCAGTTATCTATTTTTGGGTACTTGTTCTATTAAATATATCTTTTTAATATGAAAATAAAAAATTATGAATCTAATACTTTCAAGTAAAAAGTGGTCTATGAGAAGTTCTTTTAAATTATAAACAGATGATGCATTCACTCCAAAAAGTTGATTTAGATGATGTACTTTTAAAATGAAATTAAATCTTCTTTTATAGAATTAAGTAACAACAGAGTATTAAACTATTACAATTGAACGAGCTCTAAATATATGGAGTAAGAAAACATATTAACTATTTAAGTATATCATTGTTACATGAAGGATAAATTAAAGGATGTGTATTGCTAGAAACTTTAAAGTTTCAACGTTTTGAATAAATTGTTTGGCCCTGAAAAGGGCCGGTTTATTGTTGATTAAACAGATGTGTTGAATAGATTTATTTCTTAGCAGCAACTTTTTTAGCTGGTTTAGCTGCTTTGGGAGTAGTGACTTTCTTGGGTTTGGGAGCCTTGGGTTTTGCAGTTGGTGGTGCTTTGGTAGCTTTTTTAGCCTTTGGAGATGATGTGGTTTTGGCTTTAGCTTCCTTAGTAACAGCTTTAACTGATTTCTTTTCTGCTGCTGCCTTGGTTGCCTTCTTAGGAGCTGCTTTCTTGGGTGCTGGTTTTCCATCTTCAGTTTTCTTGGCGGCAGGTTTCTTTGCTGCAACAGGTTTCTTAGCAGCTGGAGTCTTCTTCACAGTAGCAGCTTTAGGTTTGGGTTTTGCGGCAGTAGCTTTGACTGATGGAAGCTTGAATGATCCATTGGCGCCTTTACCTTTCACTTGAATCAATGAACCGTCGGTAACAGCGGATTTCAGGAACTTCTTGATGAATGGAGAATGTTTCTCGGCATCCAACTTGTATGTAGCAGCGATGTACTTCTTGATGGCCTGGAGGGATGATCCATTACGTTCAGCCAAAGTTTTGATAGCTGCTTTCACCATTGATGAAGTACTTGGATGAGTCTTCGCTTTAGGATTAGGATTCTTCGCCTTCGGTGCTGCAACTTTCTTCGGTGAAGCTGCTTTAGCAGGAGACTTCTCTTCAGTTGCTGGAGTAGCAACAACGGTGGTTGTCTTTTCAGTCATCTTCGTCGATAAATATCAAACAATGTCGCTCGGAGTATTCTACTGAGTATCACTCTGGTAAAAAAGTTGGTAGGGTTATAGACGGCGTTGAGGTGATGATTGCGCACGGACCATGAAGAGCGTCTATGCTCACTTTCGACACCAGCGCTCCGACACTTTCCAACATCTAGTATTAGTTTTTAATGAATTATTTGTCGATTGCAAATAAACATTTACCGTAATTTTATAAATAATTATAGAAATAACTACATAAAAGTATGTTAATTGAATAAATACTCGCATGTCCGACGCTACTCACATAATTATAAGGTTTTTTTCCAATTAATTGTGAGAGCAATTTATGACTGATTGATGTTTCTCAACAAACTATTATTATTAACTATTATTCTATGGAAAAATTTGCATAAAAAAATGAATGTAAAATGATGGAAAAGTCATATCTTTAATATAATCAATTACAATTTGTATAATATCCATAATTAGGGACATAAATTAATATTTTAATTGACACCGACACACAGTACTTTGGTATCAGACATTTTTCTGCGTAAAAAATAATCATCATTGATAATATTGCCTTATAATTTATTTCCCTAAATTTTCTCAATTCAATGCAACAAAAACACCACAACAATCTTATTTTTCATTCATATCGAGATAATTACCTTTACTGATCATACATGTATCGATGTTTCCGTTGACATTAATGCCATGATTTGTTAATAATCTCACATCTCATAGCTCCCAATAATAAATGGAAAACAAAGAATAATATTAATTATAAAAATGTTGTACATCAATTTTCAACGCTTTTAAGTAATGAAAATAAATATTAAACAGAGTTGTTAAGTTGGTACTAAATTTGTATCGCGCGACACCTATGTAAGAGGATGAGATAGTGGAGTGAGTGAATTCAGGGAAGCACTATGTATTCTATAAACTATTTATGATTTGTAATTAAATCGCGATGCAAATTTAAGGAGGCGTGTTAAGTTGGTACTAAATTTGTATCGCGCGACACCTATGTAAGAGGATGAGATAGTGGAGTGAGGCAGTTGGAGCATAGCTGTTGCCGAGTAGATATGTAAAATCATTTTATGTTTAATAAAGTTTACGTTTTGTATTATTTAAAAAACAGTAATTATTATTTAATGAGAAATCATGAATAAATTAACAAGAGTTATTCACAAATTAAAATGAAACTTGTTTTGATGTTTTTTAATGTGCATTTAATGATAAATTACTACTATTCGCGATGCATCCATATTAATTTTTCTCTTCGTGTGTAATGTTAAAAATAAAAAGGGGATTTTTAAAAATTTCAGGAACCGAGGAAAAATCCATATTTTCTTTTCTACGACACTCGTTCAGAAAATATGTTGAAAAATTTACCTACAAAGATTTTCTCATTGGGTGCTAATTTTTCCGGAACAGGTAGTGGGAGTAGAACGAGGGATGCGGGAGGTATAAATAGGACCAAGGATTTTGCAAGGGTCATACGTCCTTTGACACTTGCCGGTGATATACTTGTCTCGATCCTGAATTTTTCGAACGAGATGGCGAACTACAGAAACATTAGAGATCTCTCCACGAGCATACTTGAAATGGAGATCGAAGAGTTCTATTGGAAACATAAACCGTTGATGACATCAACACCAGAGCGAGAGTGTTTATCAACTTCCAACACTGACGTGACCATAA